AAGAATAGGTTCTTAAATTATTTAGTGTATAAAAGTTTATAGATTAATTATGTTTCTTTTAAAAAAATATAATTATTTATTTGTTATTTTAATAGAAATATAATTTTAAAAACATCTGCAAAAAACTTTTGTAAATAGTTTTTTTTTAATTTTATATTTAAAATAAAACTTTTTTTATAGTAAGGAACATTTGAATTATATTCTTACCTTTAGTTTAGAAACTCATTTTTAGGAGTAAAAAAGAGTTTTTTTATATTTAAAAATTTTTTATTATAATAAAATAAAATATTTTTACTTAGAATTTATATATAAACTTATAAAAAAATTTTGACTTGAAATTTTTTGATTTGAAAATGAATTTTGTAATAAACTTTATAATAGTTGATCATAAAAATTCAAATAAACTAATTTTTTCGATTATTAAAAAATATACAGTATATTCAAAATTTTGAATCGTTTAAATAAGAATTTGTTTATTTTTTACAAAAATAGTTTGTTCAAAAAATATTTGCTTACTACTAAATATATCGTAATTCTATAATAATATAAAATTTAATAATCTTGATATCTATATTTGTGATTTTAACAATCATAAAGTTAAAGTTGCAGATTTAACAATTATACTATATTTGATAATTGAAAAAATCAAACTTTTTATATTATTAAAAAATATAAAGCATGTATATTGTATATTCTATACTTTATTCAATATTACTGTATATATGCAAAAAAGTATTCGATAAAAATAAGAGAATAGTTATTAAATACCAATTTGAAAAAATAATTAAAGAGATTAATAAAAGAATTCCACGTTTTTAAAATAATAATTCATTGTTCGAAGCAGAGCATAGGACTTAAAAGGAAATAACGAACAGAAAATTCTACATTTTTTAATGTCCGACGATTTCTACATAAACTTTTTTTTATACTTGTGCATTTAAAACAAATTGAATATTAAATTTATTATATTTAATACTAAATTTTTTAAAAAAGAATGCTTCGGATCCTAATGGTTTCCGTTTTCTAGTTTTTAATATAGTATATTGCGTATAATTTGGCATAATATTTAAAGTATTATTTCAATTTCTCAATTTTCAACAATTTTATTTTATTTTAAGTCATCGTGATCATGACCAAATTTTTACTCGGATTTCTATGAATCCACATCTCTCTTAAATACATTATTCCAAGAGATGTATTTATGAAAATTTCTCTGCAATTATTAATTCAAAATTTTATGAAAGCAATCGTAAATTATAAATAAATATTTTTTAAAAAAAAGGAATTACAAGCAGTTATGCGGCAAATTTGATGACATCATGCATGTACATACTGTATATTGCTAATCGTTGAACAAAGTCAGAGAAACGAAAAAATGTTAGTACGAGCAAATTAGCATATCTTTTAATAAAATGAGATTTCCTTCGCAATGTATCATTCGCATTTTTTTTTAAATATCATTCATTCAATTGTCATTGAATTAATCTTTATAAGATAAAAGAAAGAAAAAAGATAAAAAAGTTTTGCTTTATTAAAAAAAAAAACGCTTGAAAGCGGTGAGAAGTTTAAAAATTAAAGATTCATGATACAGTAAATGAATTCCATTATCACATTAGAAATGGGAAATACTGTATATTTCTTAAAGACATTAGTTGTCTGTGTTGCATAATGATGTGATGCTTAATTTTTTGGTTGGTAAAAGGTAATGAATATGAAGAAATTATAGAGATAGAAAGGTAAATAAAAATTGAAAAGGAAGGTAGAGAAGTAGATGGTACCGTAAAATTAATGGTAAATAAAGAATAGTAAGGGAATAAATAGTAGAAAATTTATGAGGAAGCGTGAGAGATGTTAAGGGATTGAAATGAGAGTAGTGGATAGGTTATGAAAAAAAGATGTTATTTACACAAGTTGTCTTAGTGACATAAGCGATGTTGTGTTGAAGTCTTTAAGAAAGGTTGATTCGATCACTTTGCATCTATAAACTTTATAGATGCATTGAATCGAAAAAAAACGATAATGCGAACCAAATTAATGGTGAAAAAACGAGAAAAGTATAAATGCGAAAATAAGAAATCAGATTTGCCAAAACGAAATTTAAAGCGAAAGTAGAAATGCGAGAATTTTTTAAAGAAATAAATAAAATAAATAATAAAGAAAAAAGTTTAGGGAATAGAAACCAAGGTAAAAGGTAAAAAAAAATTGTGAAAAAAAGATCAAAGAAAAGTTTGAAAAAAGGATATTGAAAATTAGAAAAGAAATTTCATTGAAAAAGAAATATGGAGCACTTTAGAAGTTATTTACTAATACATGCGATGAGAAAAAGTGAATAAATAAAATAAAACGGGTGATCAAAGGTAAATACAAGAAATGAATGAAGAGAGGTAAGAAAAATGTATACACGAAGATAAAACCTGTGGCAAAATGAAGAAGACAGAAGGTAGCATAGTAATGAAAAAGAATAATCATAGTAGTAATTAAATGATACCTGCTCACATTTCTTCAACCTGTGTCTTGTAGAAATCTAGCCAGATGTTCATGGCGGCTATTCCTAGCCCAAGATATCGGATGTTATGATACACCCCATCATAGTTTTCCAAGGTTATCGTATCATACCACTTGTCACCATCGCCGGTGTATAAATATTCTAATAACGGCTCGAAGGTTTCTGGCGACGGGATCTCGATGGGGATAACCGAATTCGCTTCTTCAACGCGATTGAATAATCTGACGAAATACTGCGACTGGGAAGTCAAATATTCGCGATGGACATAGAATGATTGGGGCGCGCTGTCTGGTCGACCAAGGGCTCTGATCTGTAATTCAGCGCAAGCAGTTTCTCTATGGCCAAAATACTTGAGACCCATCTCGTGAAGCTTTCTGACAAAATATGGGGATGGGATAGAAATTCCCTCGGGGGGCATAGTATTGTCTGAGGAGCCGTAGAATGTACCGTCGTTGGATTCATTGGAGTCGCTGAGAGAATCGTTGTCAGATTCGGGAACACGATCAAAACGGTGTGCCATTTTTTCAGGAAAGAGAAGTGAATAGAAAATTGAGTCGAGGACAAAAAGTTTTTTTGTTTTTTATTTTTTTTATTTTTTTTTTTTACTGTTGAGATATCTTTTGAAGAGTTTGCTTTTCTGACTGAGCAGACAAAAGATTCTTTTGCTCGTGCCTTTATATACTTGCCGAAGCTATAATGTCACTATAACCCTAACATTGATAACACTTATGAAAATGAAATCAATGGCTTTCTAACATTATATTTTCCTTCTTGAATCAGCACACCTTAAACAGGTTACATGACATCAAAAAACCCTTGCATGAACACATGGAGAGTAGATTGTTTACCAAGTTACGGACTTTGGGTCCACGGCATATCTTTGATTAAACCGAAAACCTTAATCCTGGAAGAAATCTCGGGACCTTAGTATTGTTCCCTCATGGATAACATAATGATCTTACCAGGATTTAAAACTCGTTGGTGTGAGGATGGTAAAAAATTTTTTTCGCCCATTGTTGCCAACTCAGTGTTCATTGATTCGTATTCTAAATTTATCATCGTTCAACAATTATATTACCAACTATCTTGATCATTTATCAAGAGATGGAAGCAGCCAGGAGTTGTTTGAGATAGTAATTGAAATTATCGGTCATTCCAACGGTCGTTTTTACCGACAGAATGGTTAAATTTAGTATTTTAGATAATGCGCGTGCAAAATCCGAGTACAGAAAAAAACGTGTATGATTACTATGCTCATTCTGAACCAAATTCAAAACCATGAAACAATAATTGTTCTTATGATATACTGCGCACAGATGTGAATTCATAACACCAGATTTTTCTTTCACGTACTTGCGACATTAACGTGGTCTTACAGGGAGGGTCGTCATATATTATTAATTTAGTCATACAACTGTTGCATTAATTACATATGTAGCAAAAATTATTGAACAATAGTAATACCCATCCGAATCCATTGTTTTTTAGGCACATCACATCATCACATCACCATCGCAAATTAATTATCATTAACCATTTATTTTTAGTTCCATTTACCGTTAATTTGGGAATATCGATGTGGTCAATGGTTTCAAGATCCTGAAACCCTGATTACCGCGTGCTCTAATTGTTCATCTTTTCAATGACGTTTTCTACCGAAAAAATCGTTGGACTTCGGTTTAGGTTCGATGTATTTCCATGCGAATAATGTTCAATTATAGCAATAATACAAAAAATTCTTTTGTAGATAATCCTAAGAAAAAAAATAATCTGACACATGTACTTAGGTAAATTGCCCGAAAAAGATAACTCCGGAGATCGGGAAACTTCCATGGACTTCCACTGCTGTTTCTCGAAATTGAAACGGTCACCATCGAGACCGAGTAATCAATGTTTGTTTGTTTTTGTTTTTTTCTTTGTTTTTGAAGCGGAATCAGTTGTTCCAAACTTTAATTTCATTTGAATAAGAAATATAAATTAAAAAAATTTTTATCCATTCATGCGGTCCAAAAATCTTCACTCGGGATAAACGGTTGAATGGACGATACGTTTTATTCCATTCTCTTGTGTTTAAATTAAAGTTTGTGGGTTGCAATTTTTGGGGTTAACGGTGAATTTTAGTGGTTTTGGATGAGAAGAGTTTCGAGATCTCTGGACTTTACTAACAAAGAACCATGCCAATTTTTATTGTCTTAAATTCGGATCTAATTTTTTTGTAAAATTGTTCGATTTTGAAAAATCGCATGTGTATATACGTGCATGCGTGAGTGCGTGCGTGCGAGTGTATTAGCTAAGTAAAGTCCAAATAAATAATATGATAAAGTGTTCCAAGTAATCTTTTGATGATATTTGATGTGATCTACGTTTTAAATTAATTTTTAAAAGCAAAAAAGGTTGGACAGTTTCATAGAGAGACCTTGGGTTTATACCACGCTGTCCATTCTTTCCCATTAATAGCATTTTACCATTAAAAAAAAAGAATTATTTGTTTTGTTTCAATTACTGTAGATAGATATTGTTCTTTAATGGTATGCTTATTTAGGATTTATAAGCTAGAAATTTAGCGTCACCAACGCTGATTGTGTCACAATGCTGACGTTATCGATCGTTAATTAGATGCACCTAGCATTTCTCTTGTACGTAAGAAGCCTACATCAATCACTAGCACACAATTGCTTGATGGGTGTTTCTTTCAAATCAGGGCACGATCCTTTTGGTAAGGTAAAGATAACTTGTGAGTTGTGCGTGTGTGCTAACAAAGGTCGAAACATTTGTAAAAAAGCTTTGTATGCCGTTAAGACAATAATTAAAAAAAAAACCGTTTGCACGGCAAGAACTAAAATAAAATAAATAAAAAAAAAAAAATAAATCAATGACAATAAAAAATAATTTATTTTATTAAAAAAATTTTTAAAGATCTTTTTAATAAAAATATTTTTATATTGAATATCATGGTGACTAATTTATTTTTTCATTAACAAAATTTTCATGGTCAATAATGTTTTCTATCATAATTTGATTTTATTAAAATTCAGAAATACAAAATGAACAAGTTTCTTCAAATGATTCAAGAATCTCGAAATGATATCTTATTAGAAATGATTTGCTAATTGATTATTAATATGTCAAATACAGTAGTATGTTTTAAATAAAATAAAACAAACAAAACCTGAGTATTAAAAAGATTTTTTTTATATGTAATAAACAATAACAAGATATATAATTAATAATTTAAAATTAATAAAATAATTAATAAAAAATAGCGTTTTTTTATAATAATAAAATAAAATAAAATATTCTTTAAATTTGTATAAAATATACAACTCAAAAATATAACAGATTTTATAATCAAATCTCTTTATATTGATAATAACATCTTTTTTGTTAATCATTTCATTTTAATTAAAAACTAATACATATTCTTTAAATTATAATTTAATTAGAAATAAAATAATAATAATAATAATAATATATTATATATTATTTGATATCTTTTTTTAATATATTATTAAACAGTTTTAAGTTTAATTAATATTAAACTTATTGTATGTTTTAAATATATAGGATATTTATATTATATATATTATATATATGCAAATAATTAAAAAAAAATTTTTTTTTATAGTTTTTTAAAGTTAACATATGACATACTGTAATTTTAGCAAGCAGTAATTATTTACTGTATAAATGACTATTAATATATTAATAATAATAAAATACTCAATAAAAGCCACATATCTATTGCTTGTTAAAATAATAATAATACTGTATATAATTAAAAAAATAATATATTTTTATAATAAAAATTAAAATAAATAATAAATTTTAATAATTTAAAATTTTTATTTATAAAATCTTATTAAAATTTTTTTTAAAAATTATATATTAATGGTTAACCTATAATTATTAAAGATTAATTAAAATTAATTAATATATATTAATAATATAATTATATATCAATATACAGTATATTAAATTAAAAAATTATTAATAATTAATATATAACTACATTTGATATAAATTATTTTTTATTAATTTAATATAAATTAATTTATATTAATATTTGCTTTATATTATTAAATAACAATATAATTAATTTCAATATATAATAATAAATAATATTATTTGATATTATAAATTAAAATTAAAATATATAATTATTTTTTAAATATTTATTTGTTTTATCAAATCTTGAAACTATATACAGTACATAATTTTAACTATACTATCTATTGATAGACAATTATATATTCAAATTATTTTAATTTTTGAAATTTTTATAATTTATTATTTTCTTGATACTAACAAATATAAACAAATTTAAATAATTTGCTATTTATAATTTTTTTAAATAAGCATTAAATGCAAGGTTTTTATTAAACTTTTGTTTGTTATTAATACATTAAAAATCTTTACAAAGTAAATTAATTCCAGCCTATCAAAAATAAAGTTGATATACAGTTTGTTACAAAAGTCTTTGGACTTTTTTTAAAATTTTATTTGATTTATAATTTTATAAATAATTAATAAAACAAACCAATATTAATATATTTCTTAGTTATAGATTTAAACATTATAACTA